GAGGCGCGGCTCAGGGAAACCTCACCTGCAGGCGGCGGGGGCGGGTTTCCCCACAGACCCGAATTCTGTGAGGCGACAGCTGACGAGCGGATTGCTTCCCTCGAACGTCGCGCCTCAGTCCACCCCAAACTCTCCTGGGAGTCCTCAACCCGCTGTATCTCCAGAAGAGGGGCTCAACTCAAACCCCCTTTCCTCCTCACAGCTGGGACAGCGGGCCGGGCCAGCGCTCCCTTCCCCCGCGCCGGCCCCGGGTCGCTCCCCAGCCCCCACCAGGTCTCAGCAGCTGGTGTCCCCGGACGAGTCCCCTCACCCGGGGGGGCCGTCCCGGGCTGCCCGCGGCGCCCCCGAAGTGCGCTCCGCCCGAACCCCCGGGGACGCACTGGCCCTCCGAGCACTGCCCCAAGCTGAGGGGGCAGTTCGCCCTGCACCCCGAGGCAAGGGCACTGGGTCCTTGTCCCATTGCCCGGGCGCCCGGCTCTCCTCACCCCGACGTGGGAGGCGCGGGGCCCCCCGGCCGCCCGCCGCTCCTCCCTACAGCTGTGTCACCACTCACCTGCTCTTCAGGGGTTGACTTTTGAGTTCGTAATAGGTTTTGGGCTCTTCGTGAAACTCCTCCCCGACTTCGAAATCTGGCACGATCCCCGATTCCGACTGCATGGCTCCCGCTTCTCGTCCAAGCACTGCGCGGCAGAGAGAACGGAGCCGGGGACGGAGGGAGGTGGCGGGGCCTGGGTCCCCCGAGCGGTGCGCCCCGGCTCAGTGCCCAGCTCAGCCCACTTGCCCGCGCGCGGCCGCCCGCCCCGGCGCGGTGAGTTTACACTCGCCGCGGGGCGGGAGGGGCGGACGCCCAGCGCTGCCTGGGATCTGTAGTTCGGTCCGGACGGGACAGCCCCAGCTCACCCCGGAGGCCGCTCCTGGTGAAACTACAACTCCCAGAAGGCCAGGCGGGGGGCAGTGGCAACGTGGTGGACACCGCTAGTGCAACTCCTGTTTGGATTCATTGTCAATGTCAGAAGCTCCTCTCCCTCCTCTCTCCCCACTTGCTTCAAGGGTAAGGACTTGGCTGTTTAATATTAATAAGAACGGATTCAGCCCTCTCACCTACCGTCACCCTCCCTCCCAGCCCCGACATTTGCGAGGGCACGCCAAGGGCTTATTTAAAAACAAACAACGACAAAAAAAAAAAAACACCAACAGTGAAGGGTTGGCCCTAGAAACTTTTAGCCTGCCTTAAATAAAAAGACTTGCTATGAGCCTGCACGCTTCTCAGCGCTGCTGCGACATATCAACTTGTCCTCGGATCGGAACAGAGTGGACAAACTCGCCTTCACTTTGTAATTAAAACGTTATTGCAGAAATTGTTCTTCTGCGTTCTTTTTCTATAATGCAGGCTGAGCTCTTACAATACTATTCATCCAGCTGAGTGGCTCTTTCCCTTTTATCCAATTAGTCACTTGTAATCTAAAGCAGCACTTGAAAGGTTCGGTTAATTTAAAAAGAAAGTTACAAAACAGCGTCGTCACTGTCTGCTTTTAATTTCTAGTTGGCTGGGAGTTCAAACGAGATTGTCCTAACATTGCAGGAGTGAAGTGGTGGGGTACAAACACTCTACAAGTGTCAACACCCTACCCCCGTACCCCCCACCTCGCCTTAGCTTCCCGGCACTCACTGAGGTAACAGAATTACGGGCTTGGTTGTGGATCGTTTGTGCTTCCAGTCCCTCCCTCTGATTTGCCCCAGCCAGGATGTGTTCCTTCTTTTAAAAGTGTGTTGAGGCGTCAGGGAGGCAGTCGAGAGTTAGAGGGAGGCGTTTACAGTTAGAGCACGGTGAAATCCCAAATCCTTCTCTACAGCGCAGTGTAATCTTGGACATGTCAACTTGATTCCTAGAAACCTCAATTTCCTCAACTGTGAAAAAAGATTGGCAAACCTGTTTTAGAAGACGTTGCAAGGTCAAAGGCAAAGAAAGTGATGTGTAATCTATAAAAATTCTGTTCAGTGCTCATTCTTTTATTTTCCAGGTCTTGACAATACTCCTATCAGGCTAACATTTCATCTGTGTTTGTCCTTTCAGAGGTAACAAACTAAATGATCATCCTAGGGGAAAACTCTAAGTGAGTAGAATCATGGTTGGGCATCTCCCAAGGGTTGCAGGTTTACACATTTTGCCTTATGATGCAACATTTTAATTTCACATCAGAAAAATCTCCAGTAGGGTGGGTTGATTTTGGAGTCAAGGATCTCAAGCACATTTGGGAGAAAGTGCAGAAGGTATACCATTTTATGGTAACAATTACCAAAATCCCACAATATAAAAATACAAAATCCCAACATTTAGGTCCTTTGCTATACCATTAAAATACAACGAAATATCTGAACACTCCTGAGAAAGTGGGTTTTATGTTCATGAATGTGGAATCCCAGATTCCTTAAGAGATGGACAGCTGGGAATTAGTAATTAAAAGTAAAGAAATGTTACTCTTCTCCCAGAAGGAAGATGAAAGATAACATACAAAGAGAATACTCAATTTAGACTTCTAGTTTTATCTTGATTCTCAGCTAAAGGTGCTCGGATGTGGGAGGAGAAGCTGATTATCATAATAAGTTGGGGGTATTACAAGCTTTGTTCTTTAAGGTATCATTGATATACAATCCTATGAAGGTTTCACATGAGCAACATTGTGGTTACTACATTCACTCATATTATCAAGTCCCCACACACACCCCATTCACTGTCCATCAGCACAGTAAGATGCTCTAGAGTCACTACTTGTCTGCTCTGTGCTATACTGCCTTCCCATGACCCACCTACATTATGTGCCCTAATCAATTTGCCCCTTAATCCATTTCTCCCTCCCTTCCCACTCACCCTCTACACCCCCTTTGCCTTGGTAACCACTAGTCCCTTCTTGAAGTCTGTGAGTCTGCTGTTGTTTCATTCCTTCCGTTTTGCTGTGTTTTTATACTCCACAAATGAGTGAAATCATTTGGTACTTGTCTTTCTCCACCTGGTTTATTTCACTGAGCATAGGGTATTACAAGCTTTTAAGGGGTATGGGCCAGAGATGCTATGTACCTTGCACAGTGACAAACTTTATTGTTCAAATATTAGTGGCACCCCCATTGAGAAACACTGGAGTCTTCTTAGTCATTTGGTTTAGCAGAAGCTTTTTCATGAGCAACAGTACAGAACCACCTCCCCCAGAAAATACAGATACAAACAATATTCTCTGTGTAATGTTAGCCCATTGACCCCCTGAAGGCTATCAAGAACTTCATGTAAGAACTGCAGCAGCTTATAACCATTTTAGAACCATAATTAAACAGACCATTGATTATATTACATAATGACCCGCTAGACGTAATGGCCCAAACCTGAAGGGGACAAACTATCGTGAAAGCTTAAGAACCCTGAATTTACCTCCAACTACATACACCTTCCAGAGAAATCCCTTGCATGCAGAGCCCTGAACCAAGGTCACCCTGAGGTACAAACAGATAGCTTCTGTATTTCCCCTACACCGTTTCTACTCCAGTAGATCAGGAAAACTTCTCTTCCATTACATGTGGCAGGATTATTGATTCCGATGCCCTCTGCCACCCAACAGGAAAGGGTATGTGACCTAATCCTCCCCAAGAAGTGGGCCCCATTTCCTCAGCCACAGTAATTCTTTAAGGGATAGACATAGAGCCCTAACATGACCAGAAATCCTCCTTTAAACCCTTCTGCTGGGGCACAGGGGATTTTTGGAAGCATGGTGCTAGAAACAGGAGACTTGGAGCTAATTATTTGCAGTTACATAGAGAAGGTAATCAAAAAAGAGAGAGAATGCTATAAGATCAATAATCAGAGAGGTAAGATATTCTTGGACTTCCCAGATAAATGAATCCAAAAAAAAGTTAGTTTCTTTGCTTTCTTTGGTTTAGGCTTGTCTCTTGCAACTAAAAGAGCTTTCGAGTAATCACCCTAAAATCCTTTCAGTCCTTTAAATGGACAATTTTCTATGGATGGCCATACCATTAACCCACATAATAGAAAGTTGGCCAGACAAATGACCCCTGGAATGTCTCTTCATTAATGAATTAAATCTTAGGAGTAGATACTTCTTTTTTTAAAAGGTGATAAAAGTCAATAGTTTCATACAGTTCAACCAAGGAGTGTGCATATTAAAAGCACAAAAGCAAGGGCAACAGATTCTAGTCTAATTACTGTCACTAATAATATGACCTATATTTATCTAATACTTTACTTTTTGTACCTGCCTGTCATGTGTACCTCATATTTGAGCTTATAAAATCCAGCAAGTATAGATGGGCAAGGATCCGCATTTTAATATTCAATGGACATGCACTACTTATGGCCATGGCATTGTGTTATGTACCCAGACTGCCAGAATGTATTTGAATTCCTCCCTGCACTCAACTGAGGCAGAGTCCAGGAGCTGAGCTTTTAACCCAGTGAGAAACCACACATAAGGCAGCAAGTGCTAAGCAGTAGATAATTGGTGTATGATTTGTACTCATATCCATTTGGCTCAACATCTATCTATGGAGCATCTACTCTGGAAATAGCAGTGTTCAGCCATAATGATCCATGTACTCAGGGTACGGTCCCTGCCTTATCAGGAATAGGAAAGAACGTGATTTAATGGATAGAGTGATAGATAGGAAATGCTACAAACATTTGAGAAAGGGGCAACCACAGAAGGCAGGGATGGAGATGAAGTGAAGGACAGAGATGTGGTTAAGCTACATCTTAAAAAAGAAAAACCTAGGATATAAAATGTGAAAGCTGACTCTAATCAAGCCCCTAGACCTAACCACCAATTTACAGAAGGATAAAAAAATTGAGAGAGGAACATATTAATAATGCCAAGAGGATGCAATCAGGCAAAACCAAAAATTAAGAAATTCTTCAAGACATTGAGAAATTCTTCAAAAGACAAACAGCATGAAATAAAGGGGAAGGAATAAATACTATATATTTTTGAAATGATATTAGAAATGGGAATTATAGCTCAATTAAAAATGTACTGGACAACCCACAGCCAGCATTATACTTAACAGCGAGAAGCTGAAAGCTTTTCCTTTAAGATGGGGAACAAGACAAGGATGCCCACTCTCCCCACTTCTATTCAACATAATACTAGAGGTCCTAGCCACAGCAATCAGACAACACAATGAAATAAAAGGCATCCAGATTGGCAAAGAAGAAGTTAAACTGTCCCTGTTTGCAGTTGACATGATACTGTACATAAAAAACCCTAAAGAATCCCCTCCAAAACTACTAGATCTAATATCTGAATTCAGCAAAGTTGCAGGATACAAAATTAATATACAGAAATCTGTGGCATTCCTATACACTAACAATAAACTAGCAGAGAGAGAAATCAGGAAAACAATTCTATTCACAGTTGCATTAAAAAGAATAAAATACCTAGGAATAAACATAACCAAGGAAGAGAAAGACCTGTACCCTGAAAACTACAAGACACTCTTAAGAGAAATTAAAGAAGATACCAATAAATGGAAACACATCCCATGCTCATGGATAGGAAGAATTAATATTGTCAAAATGGCCATCCTGCCTAAAGCAATCTACAGATTCAAGGCAATTTTTTCATAATTCCAACAGCATTCTTCAATGAACTAGAGAAAATCATTCTAAAATTCATATGGAACCACATAAGAACCCAAATAGCCAAAGCAATCCTGAGAAGGAAGAACAAAGCTGGAGGGATTATGCTCCTCAACTTCAAGCTCTACTACAAAGCCACAGTAATCAAGACAATTTGGTACTGGCACAAGAACAGACCCATAGACCAGTGGAACAGACTAGAGAGCCCTGATATAAACCCAACCATA